TCCTGCTAAGCATCCAAAGAGATCCAGATTTTTAAATTATTTTTGATTTCACAATTGTTTCTCATAGTTCTGTAATGTGTTCCTTATACTCAGTAGATACTAGGCTAAAGCCACCAAATGTGTTTGTTAACCTCATTCTAGGTCAGAATTTTAATCCTGTGTGACTCTTTTCCCATTTGTCCAGTCCCACTCATCATCAGTGATAGTCCTCACAGTGGTTGTCACAATAGCACCTGTGCCTGTTCCTTTGGCATGGGTACTAGACACAGGATTGTAAAAATGTTTTCCACTGATTCTTCCTGAGCTAAGAGAGGCAGAGTTTATAGTAGGACCCAAGCTGTGATGTATATGGTGTCTATATATGTATTCTGGGTTGGGGGTGTTCTTTAATTAGAGCGGCTCTGATATCCGCTCTAACTAAAGAGACCCAATGTCACGTGTTTTCAGTGTCCCGTGCTTCAAAATGGCAGTGGGGCACTTCAAAGCTCGTTACAAGCTTTAGTTAAAGCGTCTGCACCACCATTTTGAAAGATGAGGATGCTGAATACACATGATGCGCAGGCTGCTGGAGTGTGCTAATTAGCACTCTCCAGCAGACTTGCAGCAGACTCAGTTAACTGAGTCTGCTCTGACACGTGCTAACGAGCAGAGGTCCATCACATGTGCAGGTGCCCATAGTGTGGGGATTCCAGCCCAAGGGGCTGAGATAAATTAGACAGCTCCACCCACAGAAATTTCAGGATCAGGGTGATGTCTTAGCTCCCCTTTCCTCTGGCCTGCAAGTTCTCTATGGCACTTCATGTGTGCACAGCAGAAAATCTCTCCTATGTTCCTTATGCAAATTTCTAGGGAGATTTTTCTCCTAAAATGGATGCTTGTGAGAGGAAAGGCACTAGATCTGGATAAAATGTGTCAAACAGTACTCTCTGGGAACCGGGAAAGATGAGAGGCCCTGAAAGAGAAGCCAAGGACAAGACACAGAAATGGTTTTCTATCTTGCATACAGCAGCAAGAAACCAATTCTTCACCTGGCTGCTGTGCTCTGTGGACGACTTGGCTTGGACTATGAATTTCTAGAAAGGGTTGAGGCATGTTTGTGCAATATAAACACAGGGGTAAACCTGTGGAACTTGGCAGTTTTTCCTTCTTGTTTTCTAGAAGGAACTTTCCTTAGTAGTTGCTTGACTCGGGGCATCCATGAGGGATAGTAGTTACAAGGTGAGAATACCTTGGACTGTCGATGACAACCTAACATTATGATCCAGAAGGATGGCCTTTGCAATTTTAGCAGGGATTCCTTGAGAGTATTTCTTGTGTCATGGCTAATGTTTGAGATGGGATCTGAGAGAGGACAATGGCAAGGGTGTGGGAACTTATTGCTATACACAGGTGTACAATATCCTTAGAGGGGAACTTGAATCCCTACAGGCCTGTATTACAGCTAAGCACATAAGGACGTGAATGCAAACTTCTTAATTTTAAGTTTATGTTTAAGGGCTTTGTACTTCCCTCCAGTAGAGGTATGATAAATGTCAGGAGAGGTTATTAAGGACGAGTCTGAAGGGTACTCATAGATATTTGAAGGTTTCAGAGACGGTAAATGCCAAAGATAAATTACAGGCAGATAACAGCACTGGTTAAGATTTAATTAACTATATATCATTAAACCATGAAATAAGATTGAGGCAACTAAACTAAAATAATGTCATTTGTTGCACTGGTGCCACATTTCAGAATCTGTGCCTAATCCTTGTCTGCAGCTGATTTGCAAGTAGTTTATTGTGAAAGCTTCAAATTGAACTGTTTTTAAGTGGATTTATGGCATATTTTCTGCCCTCTGAATTGATAAACATGGTTCTTAGGATCAAGATTGTAAGTGTACGATCAAAGTTCATATTCTGTGACTAGGTAGGAATAGTGACTTGCTGTTTCTTGCCAATAAACTCCTCCTCTAGAATATTATAAAAGCAAACGCAAACTAGACACTACAATATTTATTTGATTCCAAAGCTAGTCTTTTTTCTTTTGATGTAAAATGGGGAAAACCAAGCCTCACTTTACAATCAAGTGCCAGACTACTTCAGCTGGGATCTGTGGGAAGTGGCTATGCAGGGAGCCTGGCTCGGCTGGGGACCTGAACAGGAGAGGAGCCAGGAAAGGAGCAGGCACTGAAAGTAAGAACCTGCATATTGCCCCTGCTGTCCCTGGCTGAGCTGGGCTCCTAGGACAACTCGGCCCTCTAATAATTAGATTCCCTCTAATCCTTCTAAGATGACACTCTAATAATTAGATTCTAGACATGGAAAATTATAACAAGCTTGGAATTTTCCATGTCTACAATGTAATTATTGGAAAGTTATCTTAAATTTTAAGTTATCTTGGTTTCGAGTAAACACAGTAATATCACTGAAGCAACTTAATTTATAAAAGCTAACCAAATATTCAAAAGCATTTTTGCAACATTCTTGGAAGGTCATGGCTAAGACTAATATGTTTCTCCTCACTGTATCCTTTGTGACAAAAATGCCCCCGTGAACCTTAAAGTTGTTGACACCCCACCCAACTTATTTCTAACCATGACTCCTCCATTAACTTGGACAAATTTGGCTTTCTATATGTTCAGTAAGTAAAGTATGTTGTTTCATATTTATTTGTTATTCAACTGGGTTTAAGCAATGTATGTTAGAAAGTGAGAAATGTTATTCAAGCAAGCAACTTGATCATTCAAATTCTTTTAGCTTTTGCACTTGTTGCTATACATTGCTCTTTTCCCTTGATGGAATACCAGGGCCAGATCCTTCAAACATAGCAATGAATGAATAACTTTATTCGCATGAGTAAGCACACTACAGTTAATGGGACTGCTGTCATAAAGTTTCTTCTATGTTTCCAGGCCGAAGCCCTTAGGCATCAGGGCAAATTCTGTCAGGCTAAGGAAAGAAGCAAATTCAGAGTAAAGGGACTCATGTTATCCTTTTGGAATCAGCAAGTTAAAATGAACATACAGTGAAATGTTTTCTATAATGGGTTCTGATTCTGAAGATCCAGAATATCATCAGGCAGAATATGAGCATATTTAAGAGCTTTAAAAGGACTGAACAAAAAGATAGAACAAAACTAGAGCACGCTGAGTACCAATGATATGTTAGCCCTCCCTCATTCAATTGGACTTTTTCTCACTGTATTTATCCTTCTAAAGATTTAATGCTGATAACTATGTGATTATATAGCAGCAAACATTATGCACATATTTCAGTATTTGAACCAATTGTACATAATGGTTTTCAAGCTATAACCTTTATTCATTCTAGACAAGAACTTCGTTAAACCCTGTGTAATTGGATTTTGAGTAACTATAAGAAATCCCTTTGTTTTTCTTTTGCAGATGAAAGAGAAGATGTTCAAAAGAAAACATTCACAAAATGGATAAATGCCCAGTTTGCTAAGGTAAGAGAATTTCCCTTTTTAAGCCAAAAGCTTGTAATGTGCATATAAAGTCAGATTTTAAAAAAACACTCATTTTCCACAATTGAGACTAAATTTTCAGAACATAGCTTGGCCTGAGATCTGGTTCCTACTTTTAGATGTCTTGCATTGTAACTAAATCCTCTTTAAAAAAAATATGCCTTTTATAATTTTAAAACAGTCTCTGTATCCTTTCCTGTTCTTACTGTTTTTTCACTGAAAAACAGGAGAGTTGGAAGCACTGAGTTACCCCTTTGTGTTCTTTCTTTTATTCTATTTTTTTAAAGCTAAAGATCTATAATTTATTTTGTGTATGAATGAAGTGTAATTCATGCATTTTTCATAACACTGTTACCTTTTTGACCTTAGCACTTGTATTTGTTAGAGGGAAAAAATGATGGAGTCATTTTTTATGAAGCTCTGATTATTTATAAAGAATGTGTACACAGTACAGTTTCCTTGAGTTAGTAAGACTCAAATGAGGAGAGAAATTCTTTGCTCACAATTCCAAGCCTCTTTCGGCAAGCACTCAACTAAATCTGTTTTGCTTAGGTTTTTCCTTTTAAAGTGTAGCAAAACTGCTCTAACTTTAACTCAGCTTCTTCCTGGGTTAGCTTGCTTCTATCACTGCAGGCTCAAGGACACATAGCAGTTACAGTAGACACAGTCCGTGGGCCAGATCTGGCCTGTGGATCTGCATCACTCAGCCTGCAATGCTGCCTGCTACAATGGACCACACGCTAGACCCAACTCTGCGTGCTGCCTGTAGTACTGTGGAACCCATCTGGTTTGGGTTGTATATAATGTGTTACCAGATCTGCCCATCACTTTGGGGTGCGCTCATTTATTAGGGGTATGTTTCTGGGGTCTCTGTAATTCTAGCAATGTGCTGCTTGTGTTACTTGTGTTTCTATATGGAGCTGGATCTCTCCCTTCTACAAGTCCTCATCCCGAATGGAACAATCTTGCAGGACTCAGTTTCAGTGGGGCTGGGTTCCTCCAACCACCGAATCAGTCAAACACATATATCCTCATACACACACAGATTAGCACACATATATGCCCATACACACACAGATTAGCCTGAGCCAGGCTGAGTTATTCAGCATTGACAGGCTAACACCCTCATATGCCTTGAACTCAGTTCATCAGGGCAAAAATAAAATGCAGTCAGACACAAGCACACAGGTTAACAGAGCATATCTGAGTCATGCTGGGATATTCAGCACTGACAGGCTGACACCCTCATGTGCCTTGAACTCAGTTCATCCCTTATTTCAGCAGAACAATAATAAATGCAGTTAGATAAACATACACACATGCTAACAGAGTACGTCTGAGCAGGCTGGGTCTTATCAGAACTTTCAGCTGATACCCTCATGCACCTCAAAACTCAGAACATCCCAATCTCTTGTCACAATGATCCTAGTAGTAACTCCCTTGATGAACGGACCTCACCATAGTTTTGAGCATTACAGGGATCTTTGGTTTAGGTAAAAGAAGCATTGCTGTAGAGCAAATGGGGAGGTCAAGGGGACGGAAGAATAAGTGAGGTTCAGAGAGAGAGAGAGAGTATAGCAACCAGCTTGACCCTAAAAGTTATTTATTGCCAGGTATATGAACTTATGATGATACCAGTAGTAATAGCTGTACAAGAGAGACAAATAAAACAGTTACAATATTACATGGTTTCAATTAGGTATTTGGGGAAGTCTAGCTTAAGTTTGATTAGCAAAAGTCAGGTTCAAGAAGCTGTGCCTGGAGTAAGAGAGTAACGGTCATAAACTCCACCAAGACCATTTTAGGCTGGACGTAAGAAAAAGTTTCTTTAGTGTCCGAATCCCCAAGACCTGGAATAGACTTCCTGCAGAAGTGGTGCAGGCACCTACTCTGGACTCATTCAAGAAATGCTTGGATGCTTAACTTGTTGGGATCCTTTGACCCTAGCTGACTTCCTGCCCCTGGGTCAGGGGGCTGGACTTGATGATCTTTGAGCTCCCTTCCAGGCCTAATGTCTATGAAATCTATGGAAAGTCAGGTTCCTGGAGTCAGAGAAGAGAGACAGAGAGAGAGAGTCTGGGTCTCACCACTCAGTGAAGCTTGAATCAGTTGAAATTCCCAGGTGTTTGTTGGATCTTGCAAACAGGCAGAGCCCTCAGGATGACCCTTGGAGGGATCCCAAGCAGAAAAGGATTGGAACTGGTGCAGCTTTTGGATCCAAGCACCAGGACAGAAACTTGAGCTTGGGTAGGGGTTTTTGTAGAGAACTACCAGTGTCTCAAGGGAGAGCACTAGGTTTGTTTATGGGTAAATTATGGCTCATATGCTGCATAATAGTAATTGATCTCTCCTGGCTATGGGTGGTATTACTCTGAGGGAGCTCACAATACAGACAGGCAGATTCAGTGTTTTGGGTACCAGTAAAGGAGTCATTACTAGAATTGATTTGATAAATGTTGAGCTGAGTGTGTGTAGATGTGGGTTGATTAACATCTGGAGCAGAGATCTCCCATCATGCAGTGCTTCTGTGATCCGAGTGTTCAGTGCAGTCCTTGCCTTGGAATCTCTGTTCTCCGTCCTGAATGCTCATGAAGGTGCTTTCCTGTCCCATCTCCCATGTAAATGAAACCAGGGGAGTTGCTTCATTCCTATCATCCTTGTCTGGAGGGCAGTGTCTCCCACTGCATCTTCATTGTCTTTTGTAAGTCCTTCCTCTAATCAGTTCTTGTCCAGACAGAGGTGTGTGTGGAGGGGTGGGGTGAGTCCTTTGTGAGTCAGACAGGCTGCATATTGTGCCAGGGTTCCCCAAGAACACAGAGCTGAGAGGTAATAAGTGCTATGCCAGACCCAATACACACAGCTAGTCTGGCATGGGCACTGCATGCTATGTATACCCCAGACCATCCCCATGTACAGTGCTGGACTAGAGCTGGTGCATGCATGCAGCTCAGGGGTCTAGGTTGGGGTGCACGCTGCATGCAGCACCTGTCCTAGATGGGTGCTGCATGCTCGATCCAGGGCTAGTCTCAATTTAAAACATAGACCAGCCCTGCGTGCCAGATCCAGTGCAGAGTGCCAGTCTCATCCAGGCAGTACATGTAGCATGTGCCCCAGACCAGCACAGCATGCTTTGCACAGTATGTACCCCAGGACAGCCTCATGCATATATGTAGCACACAGGGCTGCAGCTCACATACAGGCTGCACACATAGCCAGTCCAGAGTGCTGTGCATACAGCACCCAGACTGTATCAGCTCTACAACCTGAAGCCGGTATGCGGGGCCACTCTGTGGGCCTGAGCCAGTCTGCAAACTGGCCCTGTGCCCCTTATCTGGCCTGCAGAGCCATATGAATTTGGCATCCCTAAGCTGGAGGATGAGAGGATGACACCAGCAGCTGTCCACTCCCTTTTGCAATATCTGCAAGCAAACACTTATCCTTGCACTGAATCAACAGCAAGAGGCTATTGCAAAAAAGTTACCTTCTTCTACAGTGTATTAGCAGGAAAATCCTATTTAAGACCCAGGAGGTAATGTTTCTACTGTTTTCAGTGTTAGTGAGGTCCTTGGTGGAGTACTGTGCTACCATGTTATAAGAAAGATGCAGACAAATTAGAAATAATTTAAACACTAAGCTGTAAGGGAAGGAATTGGGTTTGGTTAGATCTGAAAGCCAAAAATTGCAGGTAGGGGGAAGATAAGGCATCTCATAAGGCATCTTATATATAACAGTTTGCTATAAGTAGGAGAGTAACCAACTGTTTTAGGGGAAGAAAAAACACAACTTAATTTGTAGCAAGCAAGATTTAGCTTAGATATTTAAAAAAAGGAAAGAAAATTTTTGAATCTATACGAATTTTTAAAGAAAAAAAAAACCTAAGACACTAGGCTGGTTTTACAAACATCTTCCTTGAAAATTAAGAATGGGTAAACATCTCAGGGTATTTTGATGAACTAGATATGTTTGATCTTGCTTTAGTGCTGAGCAAAGAAAACACCTCTTCAGGTACCTCTCAGTCCTACATTTCCAGGACTGTATTTCTGTCTGCTCACGTGAGCATACATATCAAACAAATCAGCTTCTTGTTCATACAGAATTGACAGAAAACCTCTCAAATCATGACTCAGCTTCTACTCTTGACTTTCAGGTGCTCTGAATTTGGGAAACTGCCTTCTATGTTTCAGCTATCCAATCCATAAAGAAGCTTAACTGCTTTTTGCAATTTTACTTAAAGGATAGCTGACCCAAACACTGTAGAACTTTGTAAAACTGGACCCAAGTGAAAATTTCATGGCTTATCCTCTCTCTCCACTTGGGAGTAGAGTACAAATACTTCCTAAACCTTTTGATGTTGGAAAGTGTCTTGGGCTCGTGCCTACTTTCAACCATGGAAGTGATGTTAGTTCAGCTAACGTTATGGTTCATGATACTATGGTTAAAATTGCCATTTTGTAGTTTGGTTTACATTGTGTATGTGTGTGAACATTTGAAATGAGTTCTGAATAGTTTCTGAAATGTCTTGTTAAGCAGCTTAGCCTTAAGGGTGTACATTAATTATAAACAGATGTTAAAATACGTTATGTCACTACTTTCTATTATTTAGGAGCAATGGATTTCTGTTCATTAATCAAGCATAAAATATTTATGGGTGAATGACTCAGTATGCAAAAAATTAAAACAGAAAACAAAGAGGTAGTCTCACTAAAAGACTAGTTGTTGAGGTCTCAGATGATGGACTTCTTTGGAGCAGAGACTTTTGTCCAGAAATAAAACTTCAGTTCCTTGTGTTGAACTCCCTTGGGCACCCAGAATCCCAGCCACCATTACAACTAGGCTTTTAGTGAGATCAGCTCTGTTTTCTATTTTAATTTTTTGTAAACTGAATCATTCATCCCTAAATATTTTATACTTTATCAATGAACTAAATTCCATTATTCCTGAGTAAAGAAGAGTAGTCACATATTTCACAATTTGTTTATAAT